TAGCTTTTGGTTCCTGTCCTGGAACTAGCTCTTGTAGACCAGGCTGGCCTCGAACTCACAGAGATCCACCTGCCTCTGCCTCCTGAGTGCTGGGATTAAAGGCGTGCGCCACCACCGCCCGGCTAAAAGACTTTTTTTTTTTAAATTTACTTCTTTTCTTGAATCTCTGTACTCTTTCCTTCTCTTTCCCAAGCCTATGTACATTTATGCAAGACTGTGACCCATTTAGAGGTCTTTTATGTCTAAATCTGTCCTATTGTGTATCTGTAATTCTTTGCTGTCCAGGTGCACTTCTTAAAATGCTAAGTCCTTCTTATGAACTTAATCAGCCGCATTGCTAAGGAAAATATGGCACTGCCTGCTTGCCCCACTCAGTCCAGCATGGTGGAGCTGTTTGCTGCCTCTGAGAGCCATGCTCACAGCCCCGTTTTCAGGCACACAGCCAGTCTGTGTTGCCATTAAGCAAGTTGTAGCAGTCTGCTCACAGACCCCACTCAAATGCTCTAGAGTTCACGCGGGCAGCACGGCCCAGAAAGCCAGCATTTCAAAACCATGGCTTTTTTTCTGCTACTGCTGAATCAGGAAAACCTCTCTTAAAGGTGGGGGCACACGCCTATAATCTCAGGACTCGGGAGGCAGAGTCAGGTGGATCTCTTTGAGTTCCAGGCCAGCCTGGTCTACAGAGCAAGTTCCAGGACAGGCTCCAAAGCTACAGAAAAACCTTGTCTCGAAAAGCCAAAAACAAAAACAACAAAAAAACACCTTTTAAGAATGTATTTTATTTTGTATTGACCTTTTGGTGTCCAATTTCTTGAGTTCTTTGTATATTTTGGAGATCAGACCTCTGTTTGATATGGGGGTTAGTGAAGATCTTTTTCCATTCTGTAGGCTGTCGCTTTGTCTTTTTGACTGTGTCCTTTGCTTTACAGAAGCTTTTCAGTTTCAGGAGGTCCCATTATTAATTGTTTCTATCAGTGTCTGTGCTACTGGGGTTCTATTTAGGAAGTGGTTCCCTGTGCCAATACGTTCAAGAGTACTTCCCACTTTCTCTTCTATAAGGTTCAGTGTGGCTGGCTTTATGTTGAACATACTTTGTTTTTTAAAAAATGTGTTTTTAAATTCTACACAGTAGAAGGCCAAAGGGTCTCAAATTGCTATGCCCACTTATATGCTGAATCACGTATTTCTTCCCGTCACAAACGAAGACTTCCAAGGCTCCCTGTCTTTGACCCATTTTCTTCCACTTCCAATTTTTCTACCTTTTGAACTATAACTGTATTCAGCAATAATTATTTACTTTTCTACTCTAGGACAGAAGCTTCCTGCAACTAAAAAAGAGTGAGTACCTAATGCTTTCTTTTGCTGCTTTTTTTGTTTTGAGATAGGGTTTCTTTGTGCATCCCTGGCTGTTATATAACTTGTTCTGCAGAACAGGCTGGCCTCCTACTCACAGAGATCCATCTGCCTCTGCCTCCCAAGTGCTGGGATTAAAGGCATATGCCACCATCACCCGGCTCATCTTTGAGTTTATAATCCTATTGACAAGCAGATATGGACTAGAGCAAACTCTAATCCTAAACTCATTCTCAGAAGTCTTATAAATAAGGGTTAGTCCTCAAGCCAACATGAGTCCGGGGTCTGCAACTTTTCTCAAAGGTCAAATAGCAGATAGTTTTTAGGCTTTTTGTGGGCCAAGGGGCAAAATCAAGGCTATTGTATAGGTAATTCTATAAGCATTGCAACTGAACCTTAACAGTAAAGGCTGGAGAGGTGGCCCAGTGGTTACAAATGTGCCTCAGTTCCCAGCACCCACACTATGGCTCACACAACCATTCATAACTCCAGTAACAGGGGCTGACATCCTGACATCCTCAAGTTTCTATTTGTACTCAGTCACAGAAGTCCTAAAGAATGGGACATGGATCTGTTTAGCAGTTTGTACATTCTTGGTGAACACAGCATAAAAGGGGAATATGACATCAGTCCAAGTGAAAACAACCACTACAAATAATTCATCACGAGACAGCAAACACAGGGCTGTAGATGTGTCTCAGCCATTAAAAGCACTTACTGCTCTTGGAGAGGACCTGGGCTCAGTATCCAGCACACACATGATGGCTGACAGCCATCCATAACTCTAGTTCCAAGGGATCTGATGCCTTCTTTTGCCCTCCCTGGGCACCAGGCACACACTTCATATACACACATGCAGAAGAACATACACATAAAAATAAATAAAATGAGCCAGGTGGTGGTGGTGCACGCCTTTAAACCCAGCACTCAGGAGGCAGAGGCAGGTAGATCTCTGTGAGTTTGAGGCCAACCTGGTCTACAAGAGCTAGTTCCAGAAAAGGCTCCAGAACTACTGAGAAACCCTGTCTCGAAAAACCAAAAAAAAAAAAAAAAGGAAACATACATAAATTTAAAATGTAAATGGGAAAGCACACAATTTTTTTTTTAAATGCTGAGATGGCTGAGTTCGAAGCCCAGGACCCACACGGAAGGGGAGAACTGACCAGTCTAAGTTGTCCTCTGACCTCTGCACACATGGTTTGGCTGTACATATCCCACCTCCCCTCCAAATAAATACATGTAAAAAAGATATGTGTAACTTAGAAAATCTTTTAGTTTACACATGAGATTTTATTGGTTTTCTTTGTTAAAGGAAGCACTTAGAATTGTAGAAGAAACAATCAAAAGAAGGGTAACAAACACTTTCTGACTCTGGCTGCAAAAGCAACAGTCAGTGGCGGAAGCTAAGGACAACACAGACCACAATACTGATTTTTCTCCTCGGGTTAAACTCTTTCAAAAAGAAAGTATTATTCATGTTAAACAGGGAAGGGATTGCAGAGTGATCATTTGGGGAAAACAAAAACAATTAAAACCACTAATGACATATCACATTAAAACAATAAGGACAGAGAACCTCGACCAGCCCAAACATGGTAGCACAGTGATTTCATGGCTTCAAAACCCCACTGAGTGATAAGCCCAGGAAAACGAGACCTCCTTTCCCTGGTATTCAAGTCAGTCTGTGGACAGTCTGTGATGCTAGAAAGAGTTCAAAGTTTCTACTTTACAAAAATTGACCACATTTAAACTAACATGATTGTTTTCCATCCAATAACTGAGAGGACAATAATATAAAAATATGTAAAAATTATTCTAGACTCATAATTCCTAGATATGCTAACACCCATATAGCTAGTATAAATTTGATGATTAAAAAAATATTTTTATTTCCTTAAAAACATGTAGTTCATTTCCCATTTAATATCAGACAGACACCGGCTATCCTGAAGTACCAAAATAATCACAGAAAATGGCAGTATCTAGACTTTTGGTTTCTTGTTAGGTGGATCCTGAAGACTAAACTTCGGAATTTCACCAGGAGTGTATGGAATTCTCTTGGAAGACACCTTTTTGCCAATTGTTTCAATCTGAAGAGAAAAAAAATAGAACCATTAATCCCAGTGCACGTACGTAAGAGTTCCACAGTGTAGAGAGAGACGGGAGGACGAGGAGAAAAACTTTCCAAGTTGTCTGAGTGGCTGAGAGATCTTCGGCTCCTTTATTTTTGTGTTTCTAGAATCAAGTGTCGCCCCCCTTTGCTGGCTTGTATTTGTTGGGTTTTTAGAGACAGGGTCTTGCTATCTAACACTGGCCTCTAACTCACAGACCATCCTGCGGGAGTGCAGGGAACAGCACGCCTGCAATCACGTCACAGACATGGCTGCTCCACTTCTTTATGTCTATGAGTCATTCTGTCTGCGTGCACATCTGCACCAGAAGGCATCTGTCGTGAGCTGCCATTGGGTGCTAGGAACTGAACTCAGGACTTGGAGAACGGTGAGTGCTCTTAATCACTGAGCCATCTCCCCAGCCCCATACAACACACACACACACACACACACACACACACACACACACACACACCCGCTTTAGCCCTGGCTGTTCTGGAACTCACTCTGTAGGCCACGCTGGCCTCAACCTCAAGATCCACCTGTCTCTGCCTCCTGAGTGAAACCACAACTGGCTAAAATAATTTTAAGTATGTATCTTGCTACATATGTCTTATAAATAACATTTTGTTTTCTTTTTTTTAATTTTATTTATTATGTACACAGTACTCTGCCTGCCTATATCCCTGCAGGCCAGAAGAGGGCACCAAATCTCATCACAGATGGTTGTAAACCACCATGTGGTTGCTGGGAATTGAACTCGGGACCTTTGGAAGAGCAGGCAATGCTCTTAACTGCTGAGCCATCTCTCCAGCCCTAGAAATAACATTTTAAAATAACACTCAGCTATGTAACCTAGCACTTGGGAGGCAGAGGCCGGCAGATCTCTGTGATTTTGAGGCCAACTTGGTCTATAGAGCTGTTCCAGGGCAGACAGGGATACATCCCTATCTCAAAAAAGAAAAATAAAACAAGAGGAAAATTAAAAATAACACTATTGCCAAACTGTGGTGGCACATGCCTTTAATCCCAGCACTCAGGAGGCAGAGACAGGCAATCTCTGTAAATCCGAGGCCAGTCTGGTCTACCACCAAGTGAGTTCCAGGACAGGCTCCAAACCTACAGAGAAACCCTGTCTCAGAAGAAAACAAACAAAAAAATTAACACTCCTGACTTTAAATGACAGCTCTGAAGAGCAGGCCTGCTGTCCGCTTGGGAAGATAGGATGGAGGAATTCCCAAGGTCGGACAGGAGTAAACAAAGTTGGCAACTAACTCTTACTGGAAGCCAGTGTCTCACAAATGACAGAGACATGGCCCCTCAGCAAGTGAATAAGAAGCTAAAGAAACCAGACACAGTTATCCTGGTGCCTGCATGCTGGTGCTGAGGCACTCACAGGCCCTCCGTTCAACATGTCCCCCGTGTCTCCTGTCGACAGCTCTCCTTCAGCAACTTTTTAATCCTCCCTAACTGACCCTGCTGGAGCCTCCACTCCAAGCCCACATTGCTGCAGGAGATAGAAAGTAACTTGTCAGTAGCCTGAGAACACACAGAGGCACGGCTCTGGGCAGCTTCAGTCAGCTTTCCCGAGCTCCACCAAAGAGGGCTGGCTGCCTCACAAAGCCCGAGCTCTCCCTTCAGATCTCTCAGCCCAGGAAAGGTACAGGATGAACCAGCTGATGGGCCTGGGTACCGGGTGAGGTGGATACTGGCTATGCTCACACGAGGACAGTGTTGCTGCCACAGTGAAGCATTTTCTCAGTGGCAACCCACCCATGTCTTCCCTGGGGTATGAGGACAATGTAACTAGTGTCTTCTTACTTGACTCACGGTATGAGGTGAGCTAGGGCACATGCTGTTTCTGTATGACAGGCACCTGAGGCCCTCTTAGCTGCTAAGTAAAGGAACTCAACTTTATGTCAAATACGGAAGGAGTAAACGAATGGTCACCAAAGAAATCAGGACTTCCCAGAGAAGACCTCTTGCCCAGTTATCTTACTGCTAACTTAGAAAATATGGCAATTCTAGAACCCATACAATGTGTTTATAAAAGACCAGGCCATTGAAATGACTCAGAGGGAAAAGGTGCTCCCTATCCAAGCCAGAAGCCCTGGGGGACGGATATAAAGAAGGGAGGAGAGAACCGACTCCATAGGGCTGTCCTCTGAAGACCAGCCCAGAATCCTGATTACCTGGAAGCCAATGGTCTGCAGCTCATTGTGAAGCCCATCCAGGACACGTCGCCCATCAAAGATAAAAGCTGGTTTCAGCATTTTTTTGTGAATCCGTTCATAATCCAGTTCCTGTGAAGACACACCAAATGCAGAACTAGAACACCATGTGGACACAATTCAACCAACGCTGATACTGGAATGTGCCTAGGATTTTTCTTAATGTAATTTCTGAGACTTCACCTTAAACATGTCCCATTCGGTGCAGATAACAAGGGCGTGGGCACCGTCACACGCTTCATATGGATCCTTGGAAATGGTCACCAGTCTGGACACTAGAAAACAGCGACAATGCCCAAAAGAGAGATGGGAAACAAGGTGTCTGAAGTTACGCACGGAACACTAGCCCTGAAGAAAGAGTGTCTGACAGAAGTGAATAATGGGGAACCAGGAGCACCTCAAACTTTCTCCAGATGTATTTCCTGGGACTCTCTGGGCTTTATGAAATACCACTGAGCTATATACATCCCTGACCCCTGCAAAAATTGCTGGATTGAAACACCAGTGGTGACTTCAGATCAAAGCTGAGAACATAATACCTAAGAGTGTAATTTTTGAGAAATTAGGCTGCATACAGAGCCAACCGTGATAGCGAAAGAAAATGCAACCACTGAAGGTTCCAAAGGAAAACAGTTGTGTGGGTTTATCCTCAAAATGGTTAGAGAACAGTCCTACCTTGGTCATCCGCCGACACGCCTGGATGAGACAGATCCACGACGATCTGTTCCCTGGGGACTTTGGGGTCGTATATATGGAGGTGTGCGCCTTCGTCCATCAGATACTTGCTAATGTAGATACTGGAGGACTCTCTGCAGGAGAGACCAGTCATTGCTTTAAATGACACAGTCGTTTGGTTTGTTTTGTTTGACAAATAGTTTCTCTGTGTGGCTCGAGATGTCCTGGAACTCCCTTTGTAGAGCAGGCTAGCCTCAAATTTAGAGATCTACTTGCCTCTGCGTCCAGAGTGCTGGGATTAAAGGCAGACGCCACCACCAGTACCCAGCTAAATGACATATTCTAATATCAGAATATCAGGAAATTTAAGATATGGAGAAGTTCTAGTTAAGCTAAACTGTTGAGGATATAGACTCTTTTTTTTTTTTTGAGTATTTTTTCAAGACAGGATTTCTCTTTGTAGCTCTGGGTGTCCTGGAACTCACTTTGTAGATGAGCCTGGCCTTAAACTCACAGAGATCTACCTACCTCTACCTCCTAAAAGGCTGAGATTAAAGTCGTGCACCACCAGGACAGGTTAACACACACACACACGAGATACACAGACCTTCTTCCGCTTAGTGAGGCACCTTGTTAACAGACCTCTTCTGGCATCGTTATATAAAGAGAATAAAATACTATAGAAAACACACATATACACATATGTATAGTCATATGTACTTCAATTCTTTCCTATCAATTGGAAGATCAGGATAAGATGAAAGATTCCCATACTCTCTCAAAAGGTTTGAAATGTTATTCTTTGGTTAGTTCTAGTTCCATCAGGCTTAGAAGCAAGTGCCTTTACCCACTTTAAAGAGGGCCAGTGAAATAAATTAGCAGGTAAAAAGGGAGAGACTTGGCTGCTCCAAGTTGTCCTCTGATTGCCACACGAATACCATGGCTTGTGCACACATGTACACACTTCTCGCCGTGTAACCCTGGCTGGCCTGGACTTGCTATTATATAGGCCAGGCTGGCCTCCAACTCACAGAGATCTGCTCGTCTCTACCTATGCCTCCTGAGATTAATACCCTGAGTCACTAAGCATAGGTAAAATTGAAAAAAAAAAACAAAAACAAAAAAAAACCTTTTTTCCCCTCGAGACAGGGTGTCTTTGTAGCTTTGTAGCCTGTCCTGGAATTAGCTCTTCTAGACCAGGCTGGCCTCAAACTCACAGAGATCCACCTGCTTCTGCCTCCCAAGTGCTGGGATTAAAGGCCTGTGCCACCACTGCCTGGCCAAAAACACTTTTAATGTTTTAAAGAACTAATACCTAGGGCTGGAGAGATGGCTTAGCAGTTAAGAGCACTGGCTGCTCTCCCAGAGGACTGAGGTTCAATTCCCAGTACCCACATGGCAGATCACAACTGTTGGTAACTCCAGCTCCAGAGGATCTGACATCATCACATAGACATACACACAGGCAAAAAACCAATGCACATAAAATAAACGAATCTTAGGAACAACAACAACAACAAAAAGAACTGATACCTGGTATCGCCAGTGTCCTTTTTGAATGCAAACCCCAAGATGGCTATCTTCTTATCAGTTACTGTATTAAACAAGCTGTCTATGATCCTCGAGGCAAACCTCCTCCTCTGGTAGTCATTCATGTCTATGACCTGAAATCATATGTAAATATACAATGTTAGCTTACAAAAGTGTCATCTAGGATACGCACATGGTGTTCTAGTAAATGCTGCTATACAAATATATGGTTCACATATTACAGCAAAGTTTACTCAACACTCTTAATTCAGATTTAAATCTGAAAATTAAAAATCCAATTGCCAGATTTGGTGGCACCTGCCTTTAATCCACTAGTCCCCTTCCTTAGAGCCTTTCTGAAAATGTTCATTTTCATTTGGCTTGGTAGGCTGTGAGTGACGCTCGGGTAGATGAAAAGACTCCAGGAACACAGCTAGACTTGAATTCTGAAGGCATGTGAGATCCAGCCACAAAGCCAGCCAAAATAAGGCACCTTCACCCCGCTTCTTCAGGTCCCCAGAAGGGACAAGGTGGTGAGCAGTCAGCTCTCCAAGCACTCACCAAATGCTGCAAGCTCACCAACTCACTCACCATCCACCAAGGCTCACCATGAGAAGACAGGAACAGACACCACACAGAGGGAGAGCTGCCTCTGCACAAACCGTGACAACACAAGTACTGGACAAGCGTTTTAACCAAATGCCCTGAGTCAGAGCATCTCAGAGCATCCAACATCTGCTAGGTTAAGTTGCTGATGAAGTGGGGGGGGGGGGCTGGGCTTTTCAAAAGCTTTCAGGAACGGTCTCAAGTCTTGGCAGCTTGGAAAGGAGCCCAAAGTGTCGGGAATCAGGGCTTCATCTTAATTGGATGGCAAGATGTGAGTGAAATACACAGAAAATGAGTCTGTCTACAGACTCACTCCCATAGCTACTGCTGAAATCTGAAGATTATGGATTCAGGAAACCATTGGGAATGGTGCATATCCTGGCTGGCACTTTAGGCAAATCTGTCATTCTCAAAATATCTTCTCTCATCTAAAAATGGGGGATAACGTTAGTGATGAGGGGTAAACGGTGTTCTGCATGCAAAGAGTACCCAGAAAAAACAAGCATTTGATAAGCCAGGAAGGGGTTCCCATTTTAGCTCTGTGAATTTGAAAGAGGGAGAAAGCACCCATAGATGCAAACCACTTTAAATATTACAATGTGCGTGTATTTCTAAAATGAAGGCAGCGATGGATGTGGATACCCCCAGTGGCACCAACAGTGGTGCGGGCAAGGAGTGCTTTGAAGTGAGAAAGAGGAACGCAGTAGCCTCTGGGCCCGGGATAGTGTGGTCGATACTGTGCCACCGCAGGAGCCACATCATGGATCTCTGCATTGGACGTTATTTCTGAGGAGTGTGCTGTGGCGTGGGGAGTCTGTAGTCATGCTCTCATTCCCACTGTACCTCTCGATGGCCCAGAACGAGGCAGGTGTCTCCATTGCACAACACAGTGGGAATTCCAAAAGTAGGGGCACTG